TACTTCAAGCATTGAAAATCATTGCACCCCTTCCACCAAAATTGAAAAAAATTTCAAAAAAATTGATGTTTGAAAGTTTACTTTTTTATTTCAGGAGGCGAATGAAGCAGTCCCGTAAGCAGTCCCCTCCGTGCAGTGCTACACCACTGCTACAAGCCCACGTTTGACCCACTGATTACAGCACTCAGACTTACGCCTAGCTAAAACCGTCTACCGCCGCCTTGGTTTTTACCTCAACTCTTTTCGACCCTTTAACTTTTCCCACCTCTAACCACCAGCCTTAGAAAAGATGAGATGCAAAGAGTTATACGAACGTGTAACATTGAGAGGAAGGAGAGGATTAGAGTGTAGCGGTGGCTTCATTATTTTCATTTTTTCCTTTAACCCATTCGCGACCGCGCAGGATTGCGCAATAGCAGCAGCGTCAGGAGATTTTTCTTCAATAAAATTCGAGTGGAGGGAGATTTCCTCTGCCCAGGGCTGGCGTAGATGAGCGAGGGTATGAAGATTCTTTTCATGGAAGAAAACTTTCCAAATTCCATTTCAAGCCCTGCAGCCACAGTAATACCATTGTCCCGAGTGAGAGCTTTGTCATGCAGATTATTATACGATTAAAATACTAGTTTTTTTACTCAATACAACTAAAAGACTGTTTTTTGTAACTTACGTTGACTAAGCCGTCAGCAGTTACTGGCATGTTTCGGCCACCGGTTTCTCTTTGATGAAATGTCAGATCACCGTTAGGAAGTACGGTGCCATCTCCTACATTGAAAACGTTCACCTGAAAGCGCAAACGTATTTAACTTACAGCTAATTCGGTAAGCTGTACTTCTAAAACTCAATCATAACAATTCACTTACCTGCATTTGTTTTGAAATCGACTTCGTATCGGCAATAGAATGTGATGACAACTGCGTAGAGGTAAACAGATAAAGAATGATGGGAGATAGGATGGAAATCTCGTAAGCCTGAAAAAAAAACTTTGTTATATACTTTTTTGAAGCAAAAACACTGCGTGAATGATTCTATTCAAAAATGGTAATGAACTGAGAGCTATTACTCCGTTTTCCAATTTTCAGTCCGATTAGTTTTGCCCGATTCTTGCTCACGGAGGAAAGGGGAGAATTCTAGAACAAGATGCGTAACTGTGAAAGAAAGGTATCCTCCTCACTGCATATCGGCCCCATACATGCGCGTCGTAGCGCTCTGGTAAGAACCAAAGACACGGCGCTTGGGCAGCATCGTCATCACATTAGCCGAATTTCGCGCCCAGCCCCTCAACATCTGCTAACTTTAACCTTCAGCGAATATTGGCACTTAAAGAATCTTCACCGGAAAAGACGCTTATCACTTTCCCTGTGTAACAGTGTGAGGCCTGTCACTTGAAGCTGTGCAACCAAGTTCGGAGCTGAAAAGAATGAATCCCTAAAGATAAACGCTCCTGTGAGAGTTATTCCGTGGTGGACCGGTGATGGACTCAGGAGCGGGCCGTACGTGCGTTTGTGACCAAAGGCACAGGCAGGCTTGCGATTCCCCGTTGTAAATTCATGGATGTTCCTCGAAAATAATACTTTTCACGTTTCACGCTTTCGACACGTTTCCACGTGTTGACTCCACGCCGCTAACAGTTGTGGAAGTTTGCAGCGGGAATTCAAAATTTTCATAGTCGAACTGGTTATCATAATTATTCCAAAACCATCGCTTAGGTTCCGTTCTTTTTGCTACCTTCATGAAGCAAGGTACCTAAGGATTCGTTTTTTTTGTAGGAATGGAGGCGATGCTTTTTCCGTGGAAGATTCCTTCAAGTCACTACAGGATGAAGTAAATGTAGATACTGCCGACCTACTATTCAACCTAGACCTGATAAAAATTAAATAATTCACAGACTGTGAGTTATACGAGTGTACATTTCACAGGTTACCGGTAACATACGAAATTTCTTTCTCTAGTTGCTTAACTTCATTCTCGAAAAGCGGCAGACATATCCTTACTGTGAAAGATTAAGTTAGGTAAGAGACAGAAGTATAGCCGCACAGCTGCATGATTGGATCTCTCGGGACATAAAGCGGTTGTTTTGAGCTACAAGCCATCAGATTCACTAGGAGACACGGAAACAGTGGGCGACCGAATCAAACAAAAACTACCTAATGTGCAAACGATGGCAGAGATAATTTCAACCTTGTGAATTGCATCCAACGATAAACTCTTGTCAATAAATTTCGTATTGCTGGCCACCAATTCCATTGAAGACGATGAACTGCTTCACGAAATCTTCCCATGTGAAAGTGCTCGAGAGAATCCTTATATCTAAACACAAAAGTGTCTATAAATAATCAGCGTTTTCGTTGTTGTCATTTCTATTTTTGTAAAGAATGACTCTTTCCTGTAACCCCTAACCCGTTTGAATCTCTTTATTTGGGCTTGCTTCAAAACAGAAACCATTGCTAACAGGTATCCCACTCGCACTACACAACGGAGACATTCCCTTAAAACGTTGTCAAGCGCCGCTTATGTGCATATCTACCCTTTTTTTTTGCATAATTTTCATATTAGTTATTCAATGCTCAATGACTTCTTTACCTATCATAAGTGTCTATATGTATAGTATATCTGAGGCGACGTGCAGTGAAGTGGCGCGCTCACCACGCGAGCGGTCCGGGATCAAATCCTGGGTCGTGAGTCGCCCGGGCCAACCAAGCCTTCCATCCCTCCGGGGTCGGTTAATTGGTACCAGACTTGTCTGGGAGGATAAAAACACTGACTTGAACATCGGCTGGCCCCCGCAAGTCATTGTATAGGCCACATCGCATTCAAATGCCACTGCGAATGTACAAATGGAAGTAGAATGCGTGCCGCATCCCAAAACGGGATTGATCAACGGCAAATGCTTTATCCTTTTATATTAGATATATGGATAAAGTCGGAACTGAGAAAGGGACACACAGAGTCAAATAATGACAACAAAAGCGCTTCCCCTGGAAAGTATGTGTCACGTTCCGTCAATGAAAGCTATCACAACATCGTTCGACTCAACCTACTCACCGACCGTTCAACTCTGGCTCTCAGATGCTAGGTTCAATCTATGGAACCAGGGTACGCCTTTGATGAAATTTCAATAGTTATGATAGGCAGCTGGCGCCGTAACCGTGCGCGCAACCACAATCTGCGTGCCATTGATGGTGCGGGCGAAAATTCTCAAGTTTGGCCTGATACACTACGAATATACGACTTCTTAGGAAATCTACCCGCCCCATCATCGATGGCTTGCGACCTCTTTCTTTGTCAACCATTATCCGCTTTTTCCCGGTCTCCAGACTGCTATTGGACCGATTTAAATCTTCTCTAAAACCAGCCATTCCGTCAGCTCCCACCATCTCTTTCTTGCCTTGCCTCCCATGTATTTGCGATCCTCTATACTCTCCTAGAGACACATGTAACAGGGTGCATATGGTCGAGAAATCATACAGGGGGGTCGTACCTGTTGGGCTGGTCCATGGGGGTCGTACTCTTGGGGTCAGTAACAGAAGTGGTATCATGGTGCAGATAGGTAATAGGGTATAGCGCAGCAGAAAATGAAAACATCCTGAAAAAAACATGATATTAAATTTTCTTTGCAGGTTCAGTCTCTCCATTCCTCCATTCATGAGAAGGGCGTATTTGAAGGCAGTACAAAGAATGAAAGTGCATCCCCGCAAAGAAGACTGCCACATGTGCGCACGCGCTGCCAAAGGCACTCCTCGCTATCGCCGCTCCTTCTCCATATAAGACCCTCGCTGAGACAAATCGAGATTACGCCTGCCCTTTTCCTATTGCTCATGTTGGGAGGATGTTTTCTAGACCCATTTCAAGCGTTGCCAACAACTACACTTGCAATGGTGAAGGAGGGAGCGGATTTTCAGGTGGCCGGATCCTCCTCGTTACATACTCGACGCAGATATAAGCTAAGAAGGACTAATTCGTCTGACGTCGCCATCAGAAAGCGCAAACCTTCCGCTTTCCAAAACTATCTTCCCTTTTTCAGGATCTTACGACATTAGAGAGATATTGCTTTTGAAGTGGCAAAAACTAGCATGAAAATTTCAGCATCCTCGACGTTTACTCGACGAAATTTGAGAGACCCTATCTTTCTGCATGGAAGGCTTTCAGAGCAATTTCAATACTTCTTGGAAACGCGAAATCCAGCTCTATCTAACCCTACCTCAAACTGCTTCAAAGGTTATGAAATGGAGAATGCAACCTTTTCATCGAGGGTGTAGATTTCGACGGTTTTTTTCGGGATTTCAGCAAATCTGACCCAGTGACAATCGCGCCGCAGCTGCCGTTGAATCGGCCGTTGATTGATACACTCGGCTGTTTCGATATACTCAAGCAGGAATCAAGATTAAATCGCAACCCCGTGCCTTCAGGATTTCTGTGCATTTCTGAACGAACCTGACTTTGAGGTCACACAAAGTTAATGCCTCTTTCCTCGAGTCGATATTTCAGTAAATACACAAAAGTGTGCAGCGATGAAAGACAGTGCATAGATGACAAGATGAGGCGTAACATAACATTATTTTGCAGGATTTTTTTTTGATTTATTGTGCAGGATATTTTTTGATTAATTGAATTAATTTGCTCTGTTTTAGGGGTCGTGCCAGGATCTCGATTTCGGGGGGCGGGTCGTCACTTCTGCGACCATGTACTCGACACGATTTTCACCCTGATTGTGAGTCTGGCAACAAACTCCGCCCACTATGGTGCGTGCGTGTCTGCCCTCCAATAGCATTTGACTTCCTTTCTTTCGCCGACCACCACCCCCTTTTTCCCAGTCTCCGGACTGCTATTGGACCGATTTATAAATCTCGTGGTAAACTCAGCCTATTCCGGTGCAGCCGCACCCATCTATTCTTTCTTGCCTCCCACGTATTGTGCGACCTAACTCGTAATACACATGTTCTGCAACAAACTCCCGCCCACTATGGTGGCGTTAGTTTCTCCTCCAAATCAATCTTGACTTCCCTTTCTTTTCGCACGTACCATCACCCCGTTTTTTCCCCCCGCGGCCCCCCCCCCTTTCCCGGAAACTTCCTGGTAGCTGATCCATGAGTTTTGCGAGTCGCCCACTTCCGGCGTGCCCCACCCACCACGAAGTGACTTCCCCTCCATTCACATTTTGATCCCCTTCTCTGATCTCTCCAGACTTCTTGAACCGCCGCGTAACTTCGAGCATAACTCCCTCACAATGGGCACGCTCCCCACTATAAGTGTCTGACCTCCGTGCCCAACCCATGGCCTTTTTCCAAGGCTCTAGATTCTTAGATTACAAATCTACGCCTACCTTGTACCGCCACGCCACCATTTCAACATTACTCCGCCTACTTTCTCTAACCTCTAACACCATTTTCCAGCATTCCATTTCTGTTTAACTGAACACAAGGTAGCCTGTAGGACGCTTATGTACTTCAGGCAGCGCTCCCGCCCGATTGACGGTTTCTTCTTCCTCTCACATCATTCTATGCGAAACCACCTCTAGCTGCTTTTGCCTACATGCAAATTTTTCTAACATCAGCTACTCTCAAACCGAGATATATGTTTTCATTAAAGGCGACTGATTTTAAGCAGAGAGACTACTCTGCCCACTGGAGGCTTGGGCTCTACCTCTAATTCGACTGTCCTACACGCACCACCATTACACAACTCTTTTGCCCATTTCGAGCGCTTTTATTAGAATTGAGAACATCGCTCATCAGTACCACTCAATTCGATGGACGCCACGCACACCGTGGGCGGGGCTCCGTCTATGTTTTGTACCCTCCCCTTACAAAAGCCAGATAGTGTGTGGTGCAGACCATACACCACAAGTGACGACGGCGTCCAGAAAATGCGAATGTTTCTTGGCTCAATGAACTGATTACGTGTTTCTGTTGATAATCACTTCTACACAAAGATCATTTAATTAAGAATCATCATCACATGAACCAATACTAACCAAATTACTAGAGCCGTCGCAAGTTGATGGTGTTGGTCTGACCCACACCTTCTGGCTTTTGAAGCGGGAGGTACTTCGTGAGACCTTGCCCACCCATCCCACAATTGACTTGACCTCTCCAGGCGGATCCTCAGGAGCTAGGGAATTTCGTGACAGGCATATAGAATGACAGACAGCCGACAGACGACAAACTATGCCCTTTATAGTTTCGTATAACTTATGAATCCGATCTAAGCTCCCCGTTCGAAGATGCTATACGAAGTTATTACGAAGGCTGAGTTAGTGTTATATATACTCGATCACCGAAAGTTGGGGTGGGTGTGCCACCGAAAGCGACGTGCACTTGATAGAAGCTGTGTAGATGAGCTGCTTCCTAAATACATCGCTGTATCCAGTCGAAGGAGCTTGCACAGTTTATCCACGCAACTCTATCGATGCACGTCCAAATTCCGGGGACATACCCACCCTCAGTGTTCGGATATGACTGTATAATTCACAACAGTTTTACTTCAAGCGCTTTCAAACAGCCTTTAGGTGAACACTGTCAGTTAATATTATGCAAAGACGATGGCAACTATACGATTCTTCAGTATCTTTCTACCAACATATTCTTGCTAGAATCTGGAAGCATGCCCTTCAAACTTGATTTCTAAACTAGCGACTTTCGCCAATGGGTTAAAGGTAGGTATTTAGTTTCATATCAACATGAATTCATATAGCCCATTCTCAAAGAAATCCAAATGATAAAATGAGACCATTATAAGTAATGACAAACATGCTCTAACAGAACAATAATGCAAATACAAATAACAATAAATAACCAGCAGTAAATGGAAATATTAAAAGTCTCGTATCACTTTCGTCGTGAACCAATAGAGAGATTGCCTAATCGAAGGCATTGGTGCCTCCTCCAGCGAACTACTCATCTCGATATTCACACTGGCAAGAATCGGATCGCCGCAACCCTCGCCTGCGCCGTTCCCACGCAATATCAATCCTAATATCGAGATCATCCCAAGCAAATCGAAAAAAAAACCGAATAAACACTTAAAGGCCCAGCTGTGCTCTGTGACCGCTAGTTCTTTCTTTCATCTGACTCATCACTTTAGGGCAAACCAGCGACTGCCGCGAAGTTGAGACAGTACTCTGGCAGCACTGCAAGACCGCGACCTTCTTCCTCACCTCCGCTCTCCCCTCAAAGGCGACCCCCTCACACCCATAAAGCCTTCCCATCAATCATTCCCATAGCCTCATGCATAAGTTACTGCACGTATCGTGATTGATTATTCTATTATTATCAACTCGATATCGGTGAGTTGGGGTGGGCGTGTCACCGGAAGTGACGTGCACTTGATAGAAACTATGTGGATAAGCTGCTTCCAACATACATCGCTGGCTATCAGCAAAGCATGCTGGCAACAGCTTATCCACGCACTTCTATCAAGTGCACGTCACTTCCGGTGACACACCCACCCCAACTTTCGGATATCGACTGTATCTCTTGTTCACCAATCGATTCCTGTTTATCCGATCGTTAGTCTGTATTGGTGTTTAAGGATAAAAATTAGTAATTAGCTTCTTTGGATAACAAGAGGATGATCTTGCAGCTTCCACGGCGCGCGCTTGCTTACTGGTAGCAGCGAGTGGTTCACCCCTCGCTAGTGTTGGATTGTTGGATGAGCGTGAGGTTTTGAATTTTCGTGTTTGATTCAGATGGTTGCCACAAAGATGGCCACTTTGTGTCAGCCATGTTAAAAAGTCGAAGAGGCCGCGGAGCGGTGGAGCAGATGTCTCCGAACAAGGGCTACAGTAATAGGTTTTTGATCTGGGCGCGCAAGGTGTCAATTCGTAGTCGATGTTCTAAAAGTTGTTCTTATCGTCGCCGTCCAGATGTCATTTCGTTCTGGTGAGTTTTTTCTTTGAACTGGCTGTAGCCTTTTCAGCCATTTCTGAAGCCGTTGGTTTTCTCTCCTCATTTATGAGTGAACCTACTTCACGTTCCGCGTCCCAGCCTTCTGATTCTCATGATTCTGAACTGATTCGAATCATCTTGTTGTGCTAGTCACCAGCGAATTGGCAGGCCTCCGTCTAAGTTAGGTGACGAAGCAGCAGTCAAAGGTAAGCATGCCAAGGCTCTCAGGGATGCCACGGTCCACGCCATCAACGACGTGTGGACAGAGTCCAAGGAAGTCACTACTATGCTGACCCATAGTATTAACGAAGGTAATTCTGTTCTTCTAGGCCGACCTCAACCAGTCGTTTGCCGCTGTCGGAGAGCGCATTAACAAGATTCCTCTTGTAGCGTCTCTTAGCCCGGATGGGCCTTTACCTAGAATTGTTCCGTTCATAGGGTCAGGTGAGGACCCGATGCAGTTCTCAATGTGGCTTCGTCGTTTAGAAGATGTGATGAGGATGCGTTCGACCTCATGGTCCTCTCAGCAAAAGGCCTGCTTTCTCATAGGCTACCTTGATGGAGTGGCCAGAGAGAAAGTGAAGGAGCTTCCAGATGAGGAACGCAACAGTCTCGAGGCGATCGTGGCTAACCTGAAGAAATATTTCGAAGGTCCCCAGCACCGGTACATGGCCCGACAGGCCCTGTCCTCCTGCCAGCAGCATACGGGTGAGTCGTCTGCCACTTTTGCTAATCGCTTGCTTACTCTCGTCGAGCAGCTACTACTGGTCAAGATCCCGCTAGCCAGAAGGAGCGGGTTCTCGAGGAGTTCGTCGCGCGCCTCCGTCCAGATATCAGGTATCTATGTTAAGCTGGACAACCCTTCTTCTTTTGAGCAGGCGGTCACCAAGGCTCAGATGGTAGAGCAATTACTAGCAGAGGCCACGGCTAACCGCCTGATTTGCCCGTCAACACCCCCTAAAGCAATTGAAGTCAAAGTAGGTAACCGCGAGGGTATAGCCCTGGGCAAGGTCAGTACCCGCAAAATACGAAGCAGAGGCAAGGGCGATATCAGCGCGCAAATTCCTCTCAGCGGTTCAATTCAAATCGTTCGTTTCAGAAACCCCGCAACGAAAGATTTCAGCGACCTGCGCGTGCTGACCCACCTCAACCGTGCTTCAACTGTGGTGGCATGGGACACATCTCCCAACAATGTACTTCGCCTCGGACTCAATACGGCGAACGCAGGTACGCCTTCTAATAATCTACCCTCGCTCCGATCGTCGCCCTCCTCGTTCTCCTTCGGTTTCTTTTCATTCGATCCGTCGTGACCCATCCGCGAGCTCTCCGAGGCTCGAGGACAAATAAGGGCTCTATCAACTCATTTACGCGACAATCAGTCGGCGTTAGAGCGAGTCCAAGAGCGCTCCATTAAGCGCAATAAGGAGTTAGCTAATACTTCTTTCGGCGACACGCCATCTACTCGGTAAACTTTTTTGGAGCGCGGTACGAACATCATTCAGAGCGACAGAATATTGTGCCTTTTGAGGTGGTGTAACTAATGGAACAACATCATATGTGCGGGCGACCTACATGCCTTCCGGGGGATACCTGGACCACTTCCAACGAGCTGTCCATTGATTGGCCCTCAGCTCCGTTCGGATGCTGCACCGACCATGTCGCTTCGGTGTCCAATTGCTTCCTGGTGCAAACGGTAATCCACATGCGCCACGGCTCTAACTCGCCTGACTCGCCTGCAGGTAACATGAAGCACTGTAGTTACGACGCTGGTAGTTGCACCCTTCGCGACGGTTCGCGCTTCTCTGGACCCCCAATACGGAGGAGCAGTGTCATTTTGTGCCGGTAATGCGGATGTCAGGTCACCTAATTGGTAACATTTGGATAAGCGATTCGAAGGAGTTCGCGCTTTCATGGCGTGACAACAGCGCCGCAGATTCGGGATTGCGGCGTAGATTTGACCCTCTCCGATCAGGGATATGCGCTCGCGGCTATAAAAAAGGTCTCCCGCAACACCTACGACACCGATGTTGGGATCGTCTTGTCGAATCAGCTGGCGGCACAGCTCCTAGGCAGTAGAAGGATCGATAGGATCAACAGGTGACAGCCCTTTTCCACCATGCCCTTTCTGCGCTCTGCGATAGAATTAACTTGCTAGCAATGGCACTCCATACGTCGCTACAAGCCTAACCCCACCTTCACGGTGCGAAACTTGTCAGACCGTCACGACCTTGCCGCATCCTACCTCGGCAACGAGGTAGTTCGCATTCACCGTTGCATGCGCGTATCTTAGCAGAGCATAATGCTTTATTTCAACGGTTCGTGCCTCACCCAGCCCGCGGTGGAGCTTACCCTTCCCAGCCGTACCACTTTGCAATGGACCCATCAACGTTAGTCGTGTCCCGCAATGCACAGCCTGTTCCGTGCTTTTCGGTAGTTCATTTTCTATTTGCCACACCTGATGGCTATTTGAAGTTTGATCCCCTAACTGTTTATTCTGGCTCTCTCCCGTCTTCCGCGGTACGCGATGTCGCCTTGCCTGACACCGTTAACGCTTCGGCTCTTTCCCTCCCGCTGACCATTTTTCATAATCTGGTCTTGACCAACCTCAGCGAGCTCATACAAGACCATCAATGGCAAGAGCTCTGGTCCACAGTTAGTCACGATCGGCTGTTCTCTGCCGTCGCCAATGACGTGCACACTTCTTTCGCATCGTCTTCTTCTGCCTCTCCTCTTTCGGTGGCTTGGACATGGGTCTTCGGGTCCTGGTCGTGCTTTGATGTTTGGGTGGCGATTTGCTGCGCCCTCGTTTCTATTCAGCTCGTAGGTCGCCTCATTATTCTATATATTAATATTTATTATCCAGGGCGGTTGCCCCAATCCACAGATCTGTTCGGTTGTGCCTACTCGTACTTTCAATCGGCTGCTTCGCGTACGCCGGCTGCTCCTGCTCCCCTGCCGCGCACTTCCGCAGAGGCGATCGAACTCCCTCGTTTGGCAATTGACGCCACCACTTCATGGCCTCCTCGTGCAATTATGGCTCCGGTGAACGTGTTAGCACTGACCGATTCTGATCGCCTTTTCGTTGCGCAGATCCCCATAAGGGTAAATAATATTCACGTTTTGGCATTGGTGGACACGGGTGCCTCGATTACGGTAACGGCCGCGACCACTGCCCCGCTCTTCGGCATTTTTGAACTTTGCAAGAGTGAGGTTTCTTGCGCAGTTGGAATGGCGGGAATACCAATCCGCTTGCTCGGAAAAGCCTCTCTCCGTTTTCAAATCGGGTCTTTGTCTTTCGATCACCCTGTTTATTTTACCGAGACCGCGAGTATTCCAATCGCGGCAGACTCTTATAACATCATAATAGGCAATTGTCTCTTGCGCCGCTTGCCGCCCTGGACCATTGATTACAGTACGCGTACTTTCTCCATGTGAACGACCATGTTAAAATCCTGTGTGCGAATCCAGACAGCGAAAAGTTCTCTTCAAGAAGCAATTCCAGTGGCGCAGCGCGACTACGGTCTTCCCCTATTGCCGAAAACGTTGTCCAATGCCAAAACGGACGATTCTCTGTGATTTAACGTCCCATAACGCTCTTCTGAACGCCGTCTCATGGTCACTCTCTGCTCTCTCATGGTTATCTGTCCCGGTGTTGCCACGCTTTTAGCGCTAACCCGTCTTCTCACCCAGAGATGTTGCATAAAGGACAGGAGATTTCTTCCGTATACGCGTTTGTGAACCGCAATGGGATACATTAGCCATTCTTTTGAACTCAGCTTCATTACCGCTTCTCGGCACAGTTGTGCCATCCGCAAAACTAAATCGGTATATTCGAGAATAATTCCAGCACCGATGTTAGCCTTGTACTTCACTTTTGAAGTCCGGGACGAACTTGGGGTAAATGGGGGAGGTGTAAACACAACGATGTTCTGGTGCACAGTTAGTTTCTCCTTTTATCTTACTCATCACTTTCAGGGCGGGGATCAGCCGACGCGCGAGTACAAGGTAACGTCTGCAGCAGCTGCGAGGACGCGACCCTCTCCTCACCACTGCTTCTACTCCTAAGAGCGACACTTCAACTCAAGATAGCTGCTTTCTTCCGAGCCTTCCCAGGCTTATGCATTGGTTTTCATCGATTACTCGAAGTTATTACGTAGGTACCGGATATCTTAGTGTCGCTTTCTTAGTTCAGGAAGTTTTGGGGCCGATTACTATGGAAAATCAATATCTCAGAAAGTCCTTTTTGCTCATTAATACTGCGAAATATGTTGCTTATTGTTTTCTATTGTTGGTTCACAATTTAACTTTCCCCCAATTTTTATACTTTCTTCTGAAAATTCCTGGGTCCAGTGTGCAAATTCGCATGTGTGTACCAAATGCATCAAAATTCTTGCTGAGAGCTACAACTTCCGCCCACCAAACCAACATTGCATTTGTTGGAGGGAATACTACCATTTAAAATGCTCATCGGTTCTCACAGTTTTCTCAAAAGACAGTGAAGTCTTTGAAGTGATGCCCGCAATCGTCGTCGAAAAGGTGGCCCCATTTAACCCAGTCGTGACCGCGCGGGATTGCGCAATAGCAGGAGAGTCAGGATATTTTTCTTCAATAAAATTTGAGTGGATGGAGATTTCCCTGCCCAGGGCTGGCGTAGATGAGTGAGGGTATGAAGATTCTTTTCAGGAGAGAAACTTTTCACAATTCCATTTTAACAATTCCATTTGAAACACGACAGCCAGCGGGAACGTTGTCCTGAGTGGCATATATGGCAGCCACCGGTGGCTGCCATGTCACGAAAGGGTTAAATCAGTTGAGGCGGGGCTGCACCAGTCTTGTATTGAAATGGAAGGACACCTTAGCAGTGACTGATCGATGATGCAACAACGCTTCAACGAAGTTGACTGTACAAGAAAATTCGATATGAATGGCTCATCGCACTCATGGGCTCTCAAAAAGGTGCTTCTTTGACCTGCTATGGACAAAAATATTCCAAAAAGAACTATTCGCAGTTACGAGTAAGTTTAACTTTTCCACCATACAGTGCAGACCCTACTCTAACTAACTGTATACTTCTTTTGTCCAGGCCTAACTTTTAGCAAGTGAGAGGGATGATTTGTCAGATGATGTCAAAACCGACCTACCTCTCTTTTTCGACTCAAAAAATTCCTAGCTTTAATCGTACGAGGTTTCCACTCATACTGGTAAATGGGAAAGTGCTAATGAGTCATTCGATGAATATGCTGTTTCACTCCCCGGATTCTGAATTAAAATATTGGTGGTCCGAAACTCGTGGTGAAAAAACGACACTAACATAAGATATCCAGGTCCCTATAATATTATGTATGTCCTGTTTATCCGATCGTTAGTCTGTAATGGTGTTTTAAGGATAAAATTAGTAATTAGCTTCTTTGGGTAACAAGAGAATGATCTTGCAGCTTTCACGGCGCGCGCTCGCTTACTCTCTATGCAGTTCTTATGACTGGTTGCTTCAGACAAGCCTGATCCGAACCAAGAAAAGGGGCAATACCTGTCTAAAGTCGTGCTCTCTGGGATCCGCAAGAGCATTGGTGTTCATCTGAGAGCATTGGACACCTGAAAACAGTTCAGCTCTTCTTCATAAACTGTTTAGCTTGCAGTTTTCCCACATTTGCTAAGCAAGCAGTGCGGAATGGCTAAAGCTCACAGAGGACACTACAGGGTGGGCAATCATGGTAACCAGGACATCATCGCACTAAAATTAATCTTAGCCTAATGAAACAAATCAAATTCACAGAGATGTTGATTAGTATCACAAATCAAAACTAGGTTGGGTATGGAATCTGTTGCCTACTACATTAATATAGGCCTTAAAGTGCAGAGGGAATGCGTGCACAGTGCACAGGTGAGACGCGTCAAAATCGCTTCAAAACAGAGACCACAAATAAAATCTAAAAATTTTGTTGGCTCTGGGCGGTATTCAATCCTTCCCCAAGAGGTTGGGGTACGAAAATCCCTTTAAATTTATTTGTTTCTGAATGTAGTTTCTTCATTTTCATTGCATGTTTACTTTGATATACATACAGGGGTGGCCAAAAAAAGAGACACTTTGCCCATGGCGCACATCATCGAACTTTTCGTCGCACAGGGTGCCGATGTTAATGAAAGTTTTACGGCAGAATATTCCTTAGGTGTTCCCCCGTAAACAGAAGCAGGCCCTCCTTCACTGCCCCACCGTCTTCAGAATATGACGTCATCTGCCGTCACCGTCGAGCTCAACGAGGCTTACCGTAATCGCTCCGGCCTGAAGCTGCTACATAATTTCTTCAATGATTAACTGTTGAATAGCTTCCAGAGACATTAGCTGTGACTATGCAAACCGCTTTTGACCAGCGTTTCAGGGACGTCGTAATGGTCTATGGTACCTCGACGACCTCGTTGAGCTCGTACCGTGAACCATGTTTCCGTGGGAAAATCTTCTGATGTCGTCGGTGTAGAAGGCTGTCATGTAACTTTAGATAGATTAGAATGTGCTCTTCAATACTGAGTTGGGCAGTCGATTTGATTCTAGCAAAGTGTGATTAATGCTGTCTGAAATGTGGAATGTCTCTTTTTTGGCCACCCCTGTACATACATTAAACGTAGGTCCTTTATCAGGACAATCCCAGTTGGGAAGACAGAGAAAATTTAAAGGGATTTTCGTCCCCAACCCCTTGGGAGAGGATTGAATACGGCCCCAGAAAACCGAACCCCTTTAAGGTTTTAGCTCGCTCTGGACTCCAGGTTCACCATGCAAGAAAACCAGCTGACATTGATGAGAGATTACTAGGTGACATTTGCTGGAAGACAATGACCTCGAAAAATCTTTCTTTGTAGAAGTTTCACCTCATGTCTGCTGCTATATGTAGCTGCCAGAGCACCTGTTCGGTTCAATTCAAAAAATGCCATGCCATGAAATGGTCGCTTCACTAGTTTTGAAAGCTCTATGATATTTGGCTTGCTTGAAAAGCGCACATTCTCCTCTATCATATTATGCTCAAAAAGAAGAGGAAAAAGAAGAGATTAGGAAAAATGGGTTCGCACAGTCGCGGTTACCATAATTTTGGCCTATTCTGTATATCATATTTCCCTTTGATGCAATGGGCGAAGGCGTAACCTTTACATCATCTATGGATCGGATTTTGCACAAGACTGGTTTTACATCTTCTGGCCAACAAAGTGCTATAGGGCTTGTTCAGTGAAAGTGGACTTATGAGCGCTCAAGCAGAATATCCTTTTTGCTTACTCACCAACGGAATCAGAGATAAGCTCAATTTCCTTGCCGGCTTGATTTTCTAGCGACGAGACAGGAGGCACTATAAACAGCAGAATGTGTATGTTGGCAAGCCTGAAGATAATTGAACTAAGTGTTTAATATGCGTATTGAATGCTTCGGAGTAGCTGAACGTTCAGAAAACAGAAAAAAAAACGAAGACTACAAGATCGCGCATCACTGAAACCTCGGAGAGCAGGAACCGTCACTTCTCTAAAAGGCATTATGTAATGTAGGTTCCGGACTGTAAAGCAACACTGCTTTGGTAACGATGAACAAGTGGGGCTGTGGAGAAATAGCAGCGATCTGTCCCATCAGGTTTGTCATCAACTGTCAGGAAAGATAAAGGCATTCCCATTATGAGTGACATTCGACACGGTTTTCACCCTGTTTAAAACCAATGCCTGATACCTATTTGTATTCCGAAAAGAATAGCTGAATCTTGGGAGGATATTGCAATTTCAGTGATATAAATTGACGCTCAACTAACCGAGTAGTGCACAGTAACTGGGTAGCACACGGGTCGCCATTTTATTACCGTCGAAGAACTGAATGTACTGTCTGAAACAAATTGGCATATCTGAGTTCAAAGACGTAAAAAAGTTGTTGCGCTTCCACATACACAAAAGGTCCTGGAGTGCAGTCGTCAAGGTAAACGAAAACGCGTGAATATGTGCTATCGGCGGTTCTATGCGTACCAAACAAAACAGCTCCAAGAGGCATTCCATCACTTGGATCGATAGGTTGCATCTGTATCACTGTGGGTGCCGGAAACCCGATTGGAAGACCCGTAGTGAGCTGTGGGACACCTTGAAAATACCAGATATACAGAGAAGAAGAAGCAATTCCTTCATTGAGGAAAGACACGAACAAATTTTTTATATATTCTTACGATATTTACTACTGCAAGAGTAAAGGTAAATTTCGGAACTTAACTGTACGATACTGTTACGCAGGTAGGAAAAGTAACAAGGTGGATAGGAGCAGCAAGGAGACGGGGGAATGAAATAGCGCACAACCAGAAAACGCTTGATCGCAACTCCAATCGTTACGAAATGAAAAAGCCTCGTACTCTCATGGTCAGCCAGCAGGAGCCAATCCACCTATACTCGATATCTGAAAGTTGGGGTGGGCGTGTCACCGGAAGTGACGTGCACTTGATAGAAGCTATGTGGATAAGCTGCTTCCAACATACATCGCTGGATATCAGCAAAGCATGCTGGCAACAGCTTATCCACGCAACTTCTATCAAGTGCACGTCACTTCCGGTGACACGCCTACCCCAACTTTCGGATATCGACTGTATGTTCCTTGAAACAATATGCTGACTCCGGTACCTCACGACAGCAATGGCAGAAGTGAAAAATGCGCGCATTCTAGCAAAAAAAAATAAAAAGGTCATAACTTTTTTGGAATTTCCACCACAGGCATTGGGAACAACTTGCAGCAGAGCGGTAGCCCCTTTTTGCGCGGAATAGAGCCCAAAACGAATTTTATCACGGTGACTTAGTTTGCGGAAAACGTTTCTTCAGAGCAAATTTTGATCACGTCCTGGGAATTGACCCTATATGCAGGCAACTTTTCAGACTCACCAGCGTAATGAACGAATTTTGAAGCACTGACCTCATAAATGGTCTACATCGCCTACAATGAGTTACTGGCGTGTATTGATCAAATATAACGGGGAAATTACCAAAGCTCTTGCAGTCAGTTTAAGAAGTAGCCACATAGGGAATATCATTTCAATTTTCCTGCTTATTGTACCTGTACAAGGGCGGAAGTGGTGTAGTGACAAGTGGCACGCTTACCACGCGAGCGGTCCGGGATCTGGGTCGTGAGTCGCCCGGGCCAACCAAGCCTTCCATCCCTCCGGGGTCGGTTAATTGGTACCAGACTTGTCTGGGAGGATAAAAACACTGACTTGTACATCGGCTGGCCCCCGCAAGTCATTGTATAGGCCACATCGCATTCAAACGCCACTACGAATGTACAAATGGAAGTAGAATGCGTGCCGCATCCCAAAAAGGGATTGATCAACGGCAAATGCTTTATCCTTTTATCCTTTATTTACCTTGACAAAAAGCTTCCTAACGACACCAGTCGTAATACTATAGAAAAACCACGAACACACTCAGTAGTCACAAAATGTTGTTTTGCTTACCTTTATAGCGAACAGCACTCCCAATATCGATGGCTGAATTGTCCGTGTAGCTCAGAAGCATCGTGCTATCCGAACCGACGAATGCCCTCAGAGAACAGATTAACCCAGACGTCGGAGAGACCACTTGAATATAAGTCACATTGGCTGTGGGAAGTTCGTAGAACTGAAATTACAAGTACGTACATTCATGAATAAATGATGATGAGCACTGCCTATAGTAAAGAAAAGCAGAATTTGTATGGAGGCTTTTTTTGTTCAAAAAATGAATTGTGTACGTAAATGAGCAGAAGATAGAAAACTTTAGGGAAAATGTGTCGTCATCTGAAATCCCTGTAAGTAAATAACGTAATCCAAAAGCAGCATAAGTCAATTCAAATTGTACAGACTACTTGAATGTTTACTTATTATTTACACATTACTACGTTAAAAAAAACTTACACGACTACGAATAGCGTAGAATTTATAGAAGTTTCACTCACCGAATAGTATGTCCCTACTGAGATCGCTTCCAATTTCTTGCCGCCTGCTTCAATTACATATGGTTGGGTAAAAGTGAACGGACTTCCTGAAAATAAAAATACTTTCTTCTTCGAACCAGTGTCTCATTAATACACATACCATTGTTCTTGTCGACGGTGAGCATAACCCTCGTCACATCCAAAGAAGAGTATTTCTCCGGGATGCCTATCAGCTCACCATCACAGTTGAAATTATAACGAACGACAACGTTTTCCATCTTGTGGTAATTGGACAGCACTTTTGTCATTACCTTAAACAGCAACAATGAAGCAAGAAAAAGCGTCAAGCGCTGCATGCCCCCCTAACCCACTAGCACCCTTTTCCGCTTTTCGCAGCGCGAAACTTTTCTCGCTGCGGGATCTCGGGTGTGGTTCACTAGGAGAAAGCGACTTTTCCGCGTCTCGCCCCGCGAAGCATTTTTCGCTGCGGGAACCTCAGGTTCACCGCTGATCATCAGTGGACCCGAAGGTTCCCGCAGCGA